ATCACCATCTCTGCGTCTGTCTGTAGGCCAGTCCACGGGTTACAGCAAACCGTCAGATAATAGTAGTACAGTGCTGTGTTTTGCAGAGATTTTGCAGGAATAACAATACAGTAACGACGATACAATGTATGATTAGTTTGATTTTAGTGCTGCTTCCTCAGGCTAGCATCACTATTATTGCTCATAGCTGGTACAAGTGATTTGAACAAACCACTAGACCTAGAATGAAGCTCCAGCATGTAGCTTGTCCCACGTGTGTTGTTGAGACCAGAACCAGAAGCACATCTACAGACCAGAAGATCAGGTTTCTGTGTCACACCAGACAAGAAGAAAGCACCTAGAAACCAGCTAGAACCACCCACAACAACAGAGCCTCATTTTGGAGCCAAAATGCAGATGACTTGATAATTTGGGCTGCTATCGGAGTACAGCCAGTTTGAGCACCGTATCAGATGAAGCTCTTTGATAAGGGTCAGTCCTGCTCACCTGAGCAGTGACGGGAGGATCAGCAGTGTTCTTCGTGTGGGTTTATCAGTGTGGTGTTAGTTTAGCTGATGCGGTCAGTCTTGTTGACTCACACAGTTGTGATGCTGAGGCTTTGGCAGGAAGACGACTGGAATTGTAATTATAATGTTTTGTTTATGCTGGCTAATTCTGGCTGCTTTTGATGACAAAACACAAGACAAACACCATACGCTTCTCTCAAGGCACGTCTGAAAGAGACAGAAAATGAATTTATATTTATGCAAACTTTAGATGAAAGGGTTCGAGTCTGGCGCAGCAGACTGAACATGCTGAGATGATTTGGTTTAGCGATATACTGGTTTTAATACAAGTTCACCTCTATCAGCTGTATCTTCATGCACTCTCAAAAATAAAGCTTCCAAAAGGTTTTTTTTTTTGGTGGTGAATCCATAGAAGAAGCGCTTGGAGTTCCTCAAACAACCGTTTAGCGAACAGTTCTTCAAAATAACTTTTTTTTTCTTAGTGTGAAGCAGTTTAATAATCTGTAGAACTTTTTTTCCACTATAGAGAACGTTTTGTGGAATGGAAAGGTTCTATAGGTTCTTTGAGATCATGACCACAAAGAGTAATGTTGATTTTTTTTTTATCAACAAGCAAAAACCGTGGTTAACACAAATGTTATAATACACCGTGCATAGCTACACAACTTCATCTGTGTGACGTTATAGTGTATATTTACAGCTGTCATGACCATAATGAGGAGGAGACCGGAGGAGAGTCTAAACACAGGATCTACACCACGGATAAATAACTAGAAGTTTATCCAGTTAGAACAAGAGTCCCTGTCTAAAGAGACGATTCAGACATGCTACAGCTCATATAATGAAGGCTTTTACAGAAGTGCTTTAATGTAATCAAGAGCCTCACATTTCTGCTTTTAAACCCTCGAGTCGCTTGCTTCAGCTGTCATGTTTTAGGCTGATGGACACGTCAAAGGTATTTTCTGTTACTGAAGGTTAGAGCTGAACTCACACTGAAGCCGGGCCGTTCCTGCAGCTCTGAGCATCTGTTTCTGTGTGTTTCTGCTGTGAGAGAGTGATTGTAGGATGTGAGCGTCTGTTAATTGAAGGCCTGAACGATGTGTTTAGTTGTGGAAGAGGTTTGCTTTTATCTTCAGATTGAAGAGCTCTTCTGGCTGCGTTCTACAGACCCTTCGTGTGAAGTCTGATTCATGAAC